GTTTAAAGCTACTTGACAATTTTCTGCTTGCAGCTGCCCATTTTATCTCTTGCGAAACTAGTAATGATACAAGCAGTTGATTATGGTTTACAATAGCAATAAACCTCTCACAATTGGTTGTTTCCAAAATAAATAGCCATTCTGTTAAATGTTAAATAACAAGTCATAAACGGTTGAAAACAACCAATTTCTTGTGGATTATTGCCTGAATAAATTTCAATAGGAATGGCAGATCATTAAGCTGTAAACGCCACAGATCAAAATCCTTGAAAGTTTTTCAAAAAATCAGTCAATCAAGGAATCCATCAAGAACTCCCATTTTACAGACCAAATCACACCACAAATTCCAGCGTTCTCTTAGGAGCTTTTCCCTTGCTGGTCATGGTTAGCTCTGCGGCTGCTGCTGCTGCAAAGTCGCTTCAGTCGTGTCTGACTCTGTGCGACCCCATAGACGGCAGCCCACCAGGCTCCCCCGTCCCTGGGATTCTCCACGCAAGAACACTGGAGTGGGTTGCCATTTCCTTCTCCAATGCATGAAAGTGAAAAGCGAGAATGAAGTCGCTCAGTCGTGTTCGACCCTTCGCGACCCCATGGACTGCAGCCCACCAGGCTCCTCCATCCATGGGATTTTCCAGGCAAGAGTACTGGAGTGGGTTGCCATTTCCTTCTCTGCATGGTTAGCTCTATACCTAGCCTGGTAGTTAAACTTGCCCATTCTGAGAGCATGCAGTTTCACTCAGCTGCATTCTATAAGCCCTGCATTTAAAGTCTATGATATTCCAATTGAGAAAACACAGACCTGTCCACTAAGTTAAACATTTGAGTCAAAACTCAGTGGCAAATATATTCCAACCGCAACTCTAATACAGGCTGTTCTTGCAAGAAGAGCCAACTTCATTCGGGTGATTGACAGAAGATTCCTCACCATAGCAACCAGGGTTCTCTCTCTGGAATAACAACATTAACCTCTTTCATAACCAGTTTTTCATCCGTAAGTTTAAGAGCCAGTTGCATGCATCTTCTGTGATCCTTTGTTTCTATTTTTGAATGAACAGTTTGAACTTAGATAAAAATAAAACAAGATGTAGGGAAACCAAATTAATTTCTCATTCCTCCTGAAAAAAAGCATTATAATGGGTCTTGTAGGCAGAAGAGTTAAAGGGCAGGAAGAGTCCCTGTGTCTTCTGAGCACAGGGTGATGGCAGAGAGACTTCTATTCATCTGCTGCCTCTGTAACAATGCCTCTACAGCATTGATTTGGTTTGTGCTGTCATGGGACCAGTGTATAGAATTTTTTTTTTCCAGATTTTATTCCTGCTTCATTATTTGAGGGGTTTCCCTGGTGACTCAGCTGGAAGAGACCCTACCTGCAATGTGGGAGACCCAGCTTTAGTTCCTGGGTTGGGAAGATCCCCTGGAGAAGGCAACGTCAATCCACTCCAGTATTCTTGCCTGGAGAATTCCATGGACAGAGGAGCCTGGCAGGCTACAATCCATGGAGTTGCAAAGAGTTGAACACAACACTTTCACTTTAACACCTCATTATTTGCGTTCATAATCCCTAATGACACACACACACACACCATACAGACACACCCCTACTTAGGTGTGATCCAGTGCAAAGCAATAAATGGTCTGTAGAAAATGGTAGGAAAATATATATTCTCTCTGGAAAAACATGCATATTCCATCATCCTTTTGAAATTGCTAAATAGATCTGGAATCACCTCCTCTGTCTTATATCTAATGTTCTGGAGAACCATGGACATCAGTGACTTGCTATGTCACTGGAGTATCTCACCAGCCCCTCACGGGGATGCTGTGATAGCGTTCTGAACTGGATTCTTTTTTTTTTTCCTTTTAATATTTATTCATTTGGCTGCTCCAGGTCTTAGCTGTGGATTGTGGGCCCTTTAGTTGCAGCATGTGGGATCTAGTTCCCCTACCAGGGACTGAACCTGGGTCCCCTGCACTGGGGGCACAGTCTTAGCCACTGGACTCCCAGAGAAATCCCTGGACTGGACTTCTAGTCAGAGACTTTGGTGAAAATCATGGCACTCAAGCCTCGGGGAACATGGAGGCTGTGATGAGCAGAGACAGACCACAGCCCTAGATGGGCCACTGCCAAATTCTCCTCATCTCTTGTCCCAGCTGGGATCCATTTCCCAGTGGAGCCACCGCAATTGCAATTGCTCCCTTGAGAGGCTGAGTGGTCTTTCTACACACTTGTGTATCACTCAGAGCCACAGTGTTGAAACCAGGACCTCACTGGAACCCTGGAGACCTTCGTTCCTCTGCTGAGGAGCGAGCAGGTGGGAAGGAAAAAAGGTGCTGCTTGGGTCAAAGGAAGAGGGATCTGGGAAAATGATTTATTAAAAGAGCTAAATCATGTGGGCGTAAGGAGGTGAGGGTAGCCATCCTGCAGAATCACTCCAGGTGAATCTCTGCCCTGATTTGGAGTTAAGTGAAGAAACTCATAGCCAGAAGGCATGACAAACAGATCCCAACAAGTATTCTGTATAGCAATTTTATCCAAAGTTTGGAAGTAGGAAGAACTCTGAGGTCCCCACTGTCCTGGACACAAACACTGCAGGCCTCCTAAGACCCTGTTGGTGACCACCTTATTTCCAAAGATGCAGCCAGGGTCGGCCCCTCACTGAGAAACGGTGTGCAGGGCAGCACCCTGGTGTCACGTTGCTTCTCGTCCTCCCTGCCTTGTCCCCCTTTAGCCCTCTCACGTTCACCTCTCCAGGATTTCACTTTCCAAACAAAGTAGCTTCAATGTCATCCTCGCCTCGGGATCTGTATGGAGGCGGGTACCAAGAAAACCACCTGGATCAATCAGATTCAGGGTCGGGCAAGGTTCTCTGATCACATTATAGGCAAAGGAGTGGGTGGTGAAGGGCATGGCCCTTCTCTCTGAGGGCATCTGAAGACCCCCCTTCACTTGCTAAATGACCCCTGACTTTACAGCCACCTAGGGATGCTGCCAAGGCTGAGGTTTGAAGAAGGTTGCCTGAACCATTTTTTAGAAATAGGGTAATGGGGAGACTTCCCTGGTGGTCCAGTGGTTAAGATGCCCACTTCCACTGCAGGGGGGGCCACAGCTGCCATCCCTGGTCCGGGAACTAAGATCCCAAATGGTGCAAGGCTTGGCCAAAAAGACCAAAAATAAGTAAGAGTAAAACGCCTTTGATACATCAGCTAAGGGTCAAACAGAGAGAAAATTAAGTCTCCTTGCGTCCAAGGTGTTTGCAAGGTGTTTCTCCTGAAACAGAACTTTCTTTTAATAGCAACAGCAGAAACTGCACAGATTGCTTGATCCTCAGAGGGGAGCCCGCAGGCCCGCCTGGAGCACACACAGAGGTGGGGCCCCAGGGCCGCGAGGAAGGAAGGCGGGAGCCCCACGCACCCAGAGCCCTCGTCTCGCAGTCCTGATGGACCCTGCGGCACCCTGCGGCTCCTGTGACTATTCCAGCATTCACAGGTGTGCTGGTGGCTTCATGCTCCTGGCCCCGCATCCGGGGATTTCCTCTCTGTTGCAGAGTCGCTGGGGGGCTGGCTGCTTGCAGCTGGCGCTAATAAGGCCACTGTCTGGGTTCAGTCCCCATCGGGCCAGTTCACTTTGCTCCGCCGCCGGAGGCCGAGCTCCTGTTCACGTCTGGTCAAGGGCACGTGGCAAAGGGGGCAGGCGCACCTCTCGGGGAGGAAGTTAATCCCCGTGCTGTCTTCACCGCGGCAGCGGTCAGCACGGTTTTCTCCAGTATTCTCTCCTCTCTAAGGAGGTATGTGTTTTTAGAATTTGCCTCTTTCACTGTTATCAGCGAGTACTCACCAAGCAGCTGTTATGTATTCAGGACAGCGAGGCCCTTTGTCTGTTTGATCATCCATCCTTCATTCACTAGAATACAGTCCCCTGGAGGGAGGGGCATTCTGTGGATGTCAGGAAATAAGCTAGGTGGGGTTACAGGTTTTTTATAAGTTTTTGTATAGTGTAATACACAGGAATAGACTTACTCAAATATTTATTGACTATTATCTCTTGGACACTAGGAATACAACAGTGAAACAAAACAAATTAAAACATCTCTGTTCTCATGGGGTTTATGTTCCAGTGTGGAGAGTGATAGACAGTAAAGGAAAGCTAGTAAAAAAAAAAAAAAAAATACGTATGTTCCCTGATAAGTGCTAAGGAGAAAAAGGAGCCGAGATGCAGGTTTCTGGGGAGGATCCTGCGGTTATAAACAAGGCGGTCAGCACAGACCTCGCTGAAGTGACGCTATGTGAGGACCCCCAAGTGTGGGCAGCAGAGGGCAGAATGGTCGGGCAGAGGGTCAGCGAAGGTGGAGCCCACGGCGACGGCGCCTGCATGCCATGTTCTTGGAAGCGCCGGGGCGCCTGGGGCACAGTGAGTGAAGGCTGGCGGTGGAGATGCCCCAGGAAAGAGGGCTAGGCGGGGGACCAGGGAGGGTCCACGGGCACTGGGAAGGGCTCTTGCTTTCTTTCTGAAGAAAGGGGCTCCTCCAAGGTGGCGCTTTGAAGCGCGGTAAAAGCTGGTCATGAATGTGTTCATCCGGCTTCCCACGGAGGGACTCGGTGACGGTGGGCGTTTTCAGACTTGAGGGCTGAGCGTGGCTCCCTGCCCCACCCTGACCCCCACGTGCTGCAAGCCTGGGAGTCACGTGTGGTCGCCTCTTGGGAGCCCCCACGGAACCTGGGGTTACTTGATCCACCAGCCAGGCAGGTGGGAGCGCAGAACAGACGCAGAAGAAGAAAGGCTTGAGTCATGTCTTACCTTGTAGATTATAGCCATCCTTTCCCATTTGCCGGGAAACGGGAAAATGACTCACCATGTGACCCAAGGCCACATGAGTGAAGGAGAAAGCACCAAGTTCCAAGAAGGAAGTCGTTGCCTTGGGGTTATGGGGTTATGGGGTTATGTGTGGTTAGAATCCTTAGAGAAGGGGGCAGATCGGAGCGGGTCCTGAGACCTGGGGGCGATGTGGGTCTGGGCACAGGAGCTGGGAGGGCATCGCAAGTCTGTGACCCTGAGCGAGGGGTGGTAAGACATTTTGGACCCATTCGGAGGTCAGAAATAGGACGATCTCAGCTGGAATGGAGGGGCCTTGTTGGGAAAGAGTGAGGAGAGGGTGGCAAAGAGTGAGCCAGACCATGGGACCCCTGGCGTGCCAGCCGGAGAAGTGTGGACTTTTTCCTGAGGGTGCTTCTCTGCTTTAGATGGCAGGGTGCTTCAGACAGAACCCTGTCAGTTTCCTTCGTGCCCGTGTATGTGCACGCGGTAGCCTTGCCAGATATAACAGAACAGGAGGCCCACTTAAATTTGGATTTCAGATAAACTGAATATTTTCAATATAAATATACCCCACAAAATATTTGAGACTTAAATACAGGTACATTTAAATTTCAAATAGACAATGGACAGTTTTTAGTATAATGCAGTGTTATGTCTCATGCAATATTGGGGATGTACTTACACTTCAGAAAATTCATTTTTTTTTATGAAATTAAAATTTAACTTGACATCAGGTATCTTTTTATTTAAGTCTGTCAAGCCTAGGATGTGAAGCTGAATCAATGCTGCTCTGCGATGCTATGGACACCAGGCCAGAGTCCCCTCCTGTTACACTGATTGGCCTGGGCAGCTCTGCCCCCTGGGAGCTGATTCCCTGGCCTCCCTCGGTGCCGGCTCAGCTAATAGCTCCAGCCTCTGAGCTGCCCCAGATAACTACCAGCAGGCCCCCGTCTGCCTCCCCAAACCTGCCTCTCTAGACATAGAATAGGAATCCTGATTTTGCCAGCAAAACAGTGGCAGCCCTGAGAATCAATATGGGCCCTGATGTGCGGAGTGGGGAATACACAGTCTGCTATCCTAAGTCAGTATTGATTGTGCAAGCGGGCTGTCATCACCCAATCAGGCATACTGAAATGAGATGTTGGTGGCAGCCTGCCTCTTCCTGGGGAACTCTTCAAACACCCCTCAGACTCTTAACAGGCTCAAAGGAAAGAGCAGTGAGTTTGAGTTCTTTCCTTTCACTAATGCAATGCCTTGGAGAGCTGCATCATGTTCTTTGTTTTCTTTTTTTTTTAAATGCAAAGTTGAGAGGGGGGAAAAATCTCTAGCCGCCTTCTCTCTTTGGGAGAAGTCTCTCTGGGACTCTCTTTTAAATGTGATCAGTTCAGTTCAAGATCTGAAGCACAAAGACAGAAAAAAACAATAGAATTTGCATTGAAAGCCTCAGATGTGTTGGACGCTGTAGTGAGCATTTTGTATGTTTCGTGAGGTCATATCCTTAGAAGAATTCTACGAGAGAAGTATTATTCTCCTCATTGTGCAGATTTAGAACTAGAGACTCACTGAGGCTCAGTGATTTGCTGAGGACCACACAGCCTGCCAGCATGTTAGTGTTACTCAATCATGTCCTGACTCTGTGACCCGGTGGACTGTAGCCCACAAGGCTCCTCTGTCCATGGAATTCTCCAGGTAAGAATACTGGAGTGGGTAGTCATTCCTTTCTCCAGGGGAATCTTCCCAACCTAGGGATCGAACCCATGTCTCCTGCATTGCAGGCGGATTTTTACCATCTGAGCCACCAGGGAAACTGCCAGTGGGTCAGAGTCTTGGTTTAAACCCAGGTCAGTTTGACTTGTAACACTCCTGCTGGCTTAAGGAGCTGGTCAAGCTGCATATGCACACAGCTGGTTTATCAGGCCAACTTGTCCTTGAAAATTCTGAATTACCTGGTGGTCCAGTGGTTAGGACTTGGTGCTCTCCCTGCGATGGGCCTGGGTTTGATCCCTGATTGGGGAACAAAGATCCTGCAAGCTGCTCGGTGTGGCCAAAAAGAAAATTTGTAACTGATTAACATCCTCTGAGAACCTGTCTCCGGTTGCTCGGAAAACCTCAGCTGCTTCTCTCTGCTCTCACATGATTTCCGTTCCACCTGTGATGCACAGCCTTTACCATTGTGCTGAAAGAAAAAAAAAACACCCACCTTTCTACTGATCCTCGAAGTCCTCAAGGTCAAAGTCTTCTTTCTACCAAGTGTGTGTCTGTCGACATTCAGGGACCAGTCTATTGTTTGGCGCACAGTAGACTCTCAGTAAATATCTGCTGTTGGATACTATTATTTCAAATTCTCTTTTCCCATTTGTTTAGGGAGTCCAAGAATGCTGTTGTGTTGGTGTGTGGCATTTGTCACTGCTGGCCTTCTGCACTCCTGTCTATTTTCTCACACTGAGTTTTCTATTTGCCTGTCTTCGCTGGTCGCTCAGCTAACTGGCAACACCAGTACTGATAAGGGTTCCCTGGTGGCTCAAATGGTAAAGAATCTGCCTGTAATGCGGGAGACCTGGGTTCAGTCCCTGGATTGGGAAGATCTCCTGGATGAGGGCATGGCAACCCACTCCAGTATTCTTGCCTGGAGAATCCCATGGACAGAGGAGCCTGGTGGGCTACAGTCCATGGGGTCGCAAAGACTCAGACACGACTGAGTGACTAAGCACAGCACAGTACTGATAAAGGATTCTTCTGCGGTCAAAAGGTTGGAGCAGCAGGGATGCCAGGATGTGTATATTTGTGGAAGTCCAAGATGGTCTTCTCAATTGTTCTTCCTTGTGATCTGATAGAAAGGTAGTGGGCAGAGTGAGCCCAATGGAAGTCCTCACTTCCCAGATTTAGGGTCTTAAGGCTGATGTATTGGGTTGGCCAAAAGTTTGGGTTTTTCCATAACATCTTATGGAACTTTTTGGCCAACCCAATGTTTTCAGTCACAGCAATACAGGGACGGAGTGTCAAGAGAAGGATGAAAAATATGCCAGTGAAAGAGGATGACAGATTGGCTCTGATCCTGTCTTCTCACAAAAACTTCTTAGAAAGTCACCCTGTTTTTGAAAAGAGTACATGTTCCCAGAAAACCTCTTTCAGAAAGTAGATGGTACATCATCCCATGATTCTGCTTCCGGAAGGAAATGTGGTTACAAAGGGAACTGTCGGGGTCCCTGCGTCCTCTGGCCCTCCGGGTAACTGGTGTTCATGGATAGGTATTGGTTAAAAGGGTTGAATGTGTTCCCAGCCTAGCCACCGGGAGCTCAAACATGAAGGAAGCAGGTAAATGGAGATCCAGCCTTTAAACGCTCCTGGCTTTTGTGTTCTTCTGCAGATCCGAGGTCCTTCAAGGGGTTTTATGACTAAGTGATTGCCCTGTCACATTAATTCATCTCCCATAGGCTATTTTTCTTTCAGGTCCTATCTGGGGCAAAGATGACTGTGTTAAAAATCAGGGCTTGTTCTTGCTGACAGAGTTAAATTTGGTCTGTGTTTCTTCTGCACAAGAAGCAGAGCCTGAACTGCACCCAACAACCGTCTTGAGGGCACGTCCAGGCTGAGTTTATCTCTCTCATCTTCATCCTTTTATTGTTTTTGTTACAGTATATATTTCAGTGGTGTCAAGATTTTTTAAGGCTCCACCTTGGGAGAAGCTCAAGAAATGGCCTGTGTTTGCATTGGTGAGGCTCAGACAGGTTTATGCATATGAGTTGGGCTGTTTATTGATCCCATGAAATAAGAAACCATTTGAAATATCCTGGTTGTGTGAAATATAACCCTTGACCAGCCAAGGCCATTTGTCTGCCTTGCCTGTTGAGAGAAGCACATTTAAAATTCCACACCTGGGAGGAACTTCTTGGAAAGAATATTTCATGCAAACGAATACATTCTTTGGACTTGCACTGCAATTTGGATTAGAAAATATGAGCTTGTTATGCCTGGACATAAATTTTGTTAGAGGCCACCTTGAGAACGAGAGGGTGGATTATTTCAGGGGTCTTGTGTAGGATCCATCACAGAGTAGGTTTTGAATGTATTTGTCTCCACATCCTGCGTGAGGGGTTTGAAGCTTGAATTGCTGCTGCTGTTGGTTTAATGCTGTATGTTGCTAGGGAGGAGGCACTGCAAAGTTCAGAATTTTAAAATAAAGTGCTGGAATCTGCTGGGAAGAAATGGAGAATGGTTCTTAATTCCCATCTTGAGAGCTTTATGTATAGTTACTGGGGGGGAAAGAACTTCCAACAATTAAAGTCAGAGATTAATATTTTGTACACGTTTTGTATTTGGGAGAATGTTATGTTTTCCGCCAGAGGTTTGACTTTATTTTTTAAGCTAGCCTGTGAAGTATGGTTAAGGAATACTGGAGAAACTTCAAAAAATTTCTAAGTAATGTTGAAGAAACTTCCAGTCAAGACCAGGGACACTAATCCTGCCCCAGCATTTCTTTTTCACAACCTGCCATTTCTGAAGGCCTGAGCTTGGCAGGCAGCTGAGTGTGGTTTGAGCACCTTACTAGAGAAGGCACTGGGACAGCCTTGCTGTGAGGTCATGGGGGCTTCAGGCTCTGGGCAGAACTTGGTTATGAGTCTGTTACTGCCATGCGCACTGCAAAACTTTATAAATTGAAGAAGAGGGAATTCCCTGGTGGTCCGGTGGTTAGGACTCCATGCTTCCACTACTGGGGCCCAGGTTTGATCCCTGGTCAGGGAACTAGGATCCTGCAAGCCACTCAACATGGCCAAAGGAAAAAAAAGTAACTGAAAAAAATATGTATATATATAAAATTATAGTGAGTGAAAATCGCTTGGTCTTGTCCGACTGCTTGTGACCCCCGTGGACTATACAGTCCATGGAATTCTCCAGGCCAGGACACTGGAGTGGGTCCCTGTTCCCTTCTCCAGAAAAGAGTAGTATTAAACTAAAAGTTCATATCATAAAATTATATTAAATTTTATATTATAGTAACCTAAAGTATAATATATAATAAATTTATAAATATATCTTATATATTATATCATACTAACATTTCCATTAAGTTGTGTATTATAGTAGCATAATGAAATTAGATTAAATTATATATTATATTAAATATATTTATAATACATATTATAACAACAATTGCACATAATTGTCACTGAATATATAACTATATTCTATAATTCTATCTATAGCTGTATCTATATAGTCTCTGTGGATATTTATACATATATCTCATC